AGTACTTTTGTATTAATCAACATTTTTATAATTGGGGTGCTTACATGTATACTTTTGGATTTTAGTATCACATCACAAGTTATGTATGCGGATGTTTCTAATATTTGAACTCATGACCTCTAGAAAAAAAGAAAATTTGAAGAGTTAAAAGGGATCCTGATTGCGTGATTTCGAATGACCAAACAAAAGCATTACAACCTAAAAGTTAACTTCGGACATCACTCAGACAAGGACAAACATTTTTGTACTGATTTTTGTTTTTTCTTCAAAATTTTCAGTGAATCCTAATATTTGTCTGGCCAATAAAGCTAATCCATTGGCTCTTCAAGTGAAGGTGTAGCTTTAAAAGACTCAACATGTTCTTCACTTTTCAGAGAATCACTAACAATGTCTTTCTCTTCATGTTTTTGTGTTGTTAGATGCATAACAGCTGTTACAACATCATCCACTTGAGGCCGCATGTCAGGTTCCTCTTGGAGGCACATTGCTGCCACTGCTAGAGCTTGAAATAGACCCTTCACTGGGAAATTACCTTCTAGCAAAGGATCAGCCATTAGAGTGAACTTCTTTCTGTCCTTAAACAATGGTGTTGCCTGTGATATCAAAACAAATAGGCTACCATAAATTCCATGTTCCAAGACTACTTTTTAACTTTCACACTAAAAAACACCTCCAAAACATTTTAAGAAAAATAAATATCATAATGCTTATTGAAGAGCATCGTATAGTCAGCATTCAACCGAAAATCGGGGGGGCGACAGTTACATGACTAAGAGGAAAATGTATAGCATACCCAATCAATCAAGTTTTGTTCCTCTGCAGATCTTGCTGTGTCAATTACCCTCCTACCAGTGATTATCTCCAAAAACACTACACCAAAACTATAAATATCTATTTTTGTGGATAGTTGACCTGAAGAAGCATACTCAGGTGCACAATAGCCATAGGTTCCCATCACCCTGGTTGAGACAGGATTCTTGCCTTCAATTGGACCCAACTTAGCAAGTCCAAAATCTGATAGCTTTGCATTGAAATTTTCATCTAACAGTATATTAGATGATTTGAAATCACGGAATATCACTGGCGGATCAGCACCATTATGCAAGTATTCGAGTCCTCTAACTGCTCCCTCAGCTATTTTCATCCTTGTCTGCCAATCCAATGGCTCCTTATCTTTACCTATGTCTGAGAAAAATAAAGTCTAGTTCATAATCATAATGTGTTTGATTTTGATTACATTTTACAGCATAACTGTTTTTCCAACCCCCTTCCTAAAACTCTAACAAGAGCTTTATAGCACCGAGATGTCGTAAAGACTTGCAGTTAATTTTTTATTTGAAGCTGTTTTGAATACAAAATAAGGTAAATGTTTATAGCTATCATACCTAGAAGGTGATCTTCCAAACTTCCATTAGCCATGCATTCATAAACTAAAATCCTATTATCTTCATCTGCACAATAACCAAGGAGCTTGACAAGGTTAGGGTGTTTCACCAAGCTTAACATCAAAACCTCTGCGAAAAATTCTCTTGTTCCTTGGGTTCCTTCTCTATTCAGTTGCTTCACAGCTACAGTCTGAGCACCAAATATTCAACATGAGACTTTCACAACTTGTAAACTTACTACATATTAAAATGTGAATGTGTTTGAGAGAGATACTTGATCAATGCTTTTTATGTATCCTCTGTAGACATTCCCAAATCCACCTTCTCCGATACGGCAATCAGCGCTAAAGTTGTCTGTTGCAGCAGCAAGTTCTTCATATGTGAATACTTTTACATCATTTTGTGCAGCACCATATTTTAGTATCTCTGCTGTTATATGTCTATGCCTGCTGCTACCTGCAATTTGAGACCATATATTTATATGAAATATGATCACCCACATCTCCATTTAAAGCCATAATTTCCAATACCAAATTCTATGGATTTTGAGTAATAATTTGGAAATCGTTATAAGATTTCTCAAAAACTATCAAGAATCTGTTCTAAAAATTATAACCATATTGAAAAGCACAGTATTATAATTAGTCATTATTCATTCCAAAATGTTCATGAATCATCTTTATATCCTCTCCTTGATGATTATGTAACTTTACCTATATTATGCCTTTGTTGTTAACCCTTACATATATGGTCCCCAACCCGAATAAAAGAAAGGGGTTGTGTTTGATAATACAATCAATAAACTTTGCCGAATCATTATGACATCTATAGAAAAAAACATGACAGGAATTGAATAAAAATCAAACCGCTTTACGATCAAATTAAAGGGCAAAGAAAGAAACAGAAAAAAAAAACAAAATGGATTTCATTCAACCATTTGATTTTGTTTTTGTTTCTGCATATGTAATAGTTTGACAGAAACAGAAAAGCCTATATACCAGTCTTAATTGACACAGCAGCAGCTATTGATTTGAATGTTTGTCTTCCTGCTGAAACTTTTCTGGTTTTTCTTTCTACTTTTGTGTAAGAGGGTGATTCAACTTCAGATTTGCAGCATGGTAAGCAACAACTCATTTTCTCAAACCTTATTTGTATTTATAGCAGAAACAAACAAAGCCCTGAAACCAAAAATTCTTGACCAACCTGAACAAATTCCTCTCAAAACCAAATTGCATGCACCAAATGCTAAAATTGGAAAGGAATGGTGCAGTTAATTCGGTTATATATTTTGAGCTGAGTTTGTTCTCAAGGCCTATTATACCAACAAAGAAACTAAATGATGTTGTGCATGGTGGACAAAAATTGTTTTATATGTGCATTCCAGAGAGAACTATAATTACTTATTTTAGTTTTGAACATCAAAACGGTTAATTAATTTTAGCTGTTTTTTTTCCTGATAATCATTCTATCTTAAAACTTGGTCGAGAATACATTATAGTCTATTATTGGGTTGTGATATGCTTGCATAGGGAAATTCTTCAATAGTAACTTTTTATTTTATATTTGTAAATTAAAAGTTCGGCATAAATTATAAGGCGGCAAGTTTAAATTCTGAAAACAATCTATCCCCCTGTACGATAAGACTTTCTACAACTTCCCTCTTCTGGGAGACCCTTTTTATTTGTATAACTATACCCCCCCCCTCACTTCCTCTCTTTACAAAGAAATAAAATTATACTCCCTCTCTGTCTTTTTTCTTGTCTTTTAAGAAAAATTGTTTTGTTTGAAATTATTAATCATCTAAAAATATTAATAAGATTCTTTTTTTACACTTTTTATTATTTCAACTCAGTTCACAAACAATATGTTTTTTGTCTCAATCCAAACAACATATATTACAGGTGATGAATTGAGAAGATATATTAAAAGAGTGAAACAATAAGTAAATATTAAAAATGACATAGAAATTGTGTGGTGCGTTTGTTGTTGAAAAAAAGTAAGAAATATTAAACCAATTATATCTATGCATATAAAAACAATTTTTTATTTGTACTCAAAACTATCTTATAGATATGAGTTAGTTATTATTAGTTACTTATGTATTTTCCAAGATAAATTTCTACCATTAATTTAATGAATTGAGGAGGGATGAGGCAGAAATGTAGGAAAGATATAAATATTTATTTTTGGTTTTAGTCTCTATTTATTGAGTTTGTTCCACATATGTTTAAAAAAAAAGTTGATTTTAGTCTCTAGCTAGTGATTAAATAACTAATACCAACATGAGATATATCAGAGGTACTGATTAGGTAATAATAATTTTATATGCAAAAATGAATTAGTAGTTGGATTCAATTAACTATTATTATTTTGATCACACTATGGAAGAAGAGAAGAGTAACTAACCAAAAGTTTGAGTAATATACATGTCTGTAAGAGCTCCAATGTTATCACATTCTTACAGAGAAAAAAAATCTAGAGTGCAAGGACACAGATAATGCAACTGAAAGAAGTAAAATAAATCAGAACTGTCAGAAAATAATAGGATTTACTATTTTAAGTTCTCATTACTCAAACAAAGAAAATCAACTTACTACACCAATTCAGCAGAACAACAGCTACAGTTGATTCAAGAGGAAGGAAAAGTGTCAGAGTATGTGGTCGAAAAAAGAACAAAAGCGATTTCTAAGCCAGCATTCCCATGATGGCTTAATCTTCCAGCTTCCCTTCAATTGATCAAAGAATTCTAAGCAGACCAGAATCTTCATTCATTACTGAGGCAATGCAGCTTCTATTTCATCCCAATTATCGCTGTTTGCGGCAAACTTTCCCTTGATCTGCTAAAAAAGATCTTTAGCATCATCAAATTTTTCAACACTGAGAAGCCAATTCACAACTTTTTTCATAGTCGTGAAATTCGGAATCCAACCTTTGGCAATACTCTCCTTGCAAACCTCAAATGCAGACTCAAGATAAAGCAAAGTAAAATAGCAATCACCATCAGGAAAGTACCCTCTTTTCTTCATCCCACTAAACAAATTCTTCACCTCATCGAAATTCCCTTCTTTACAAAACCCATGAATCAAATGAGAATAACAAACCGAATTTGGCTTCCTCCCCTCAAGCAACGCCTTCGCCTCCTTCGACCTCTTCAACTTACACAGACCCTGAATCCTAACATTATAAGTACTAAGCCCCGGATACATTCGATACTTCTCCTCCATCAACTTCAACCCCTTCCCTACCTCCTCAAACTTCTCCTCCTTATAACAACCACATAATAAAGTCGAAAACGTCGTGGCATTCGGCTTAATCAATTTCCAATCCATCTCATCCAAAACAGAATACACAGAACCACACAAACCAGACTCACAAAACGATTTGATAACTAAATTATATGTTTCCAAAACCGGTTCAATTGAATAAATCTTAGGAAACTCAGGATAAATTCGAGTTACCTCTTTGTAATTCTTAGCAGCAATCACAGCGAAAAGGAGTGAGTTCAGTGATTTAACAGAACGAGTAACATCGATATCTTCAGATTCTTTGAAGATTTTTATAGAGTGATCAAGCATAGTGGCTTGACCATAGAGGAAAATAGAGTGAGAGAGAAAGCGCTCGTTGCGGAGGTCAGGTCGAGTTTTGAGCTCATCAAGGAAGCGGCGGTGAGTTTAGATACGGCGAGGGAGAAGGCGACGCGGTCGAGGTGTGAGTCGGGAGTGAGTGCGGCAGGATTTCTCGGTTTTGATGAGAGAGATAGCGGTTCGGGTTTTCTGTTTAGAGGTGAGGGGTGTGGCGGAGTTAGGGGAGAGGATGGTGGTGGAGAAGTGGCGGAGACGAGTGAGTTGATATTTTGGTCAACTAAATCGATTAAGGTTTTTTATATATAAAAGGACAGTGTGTTAAACGACGCCGTTTCGGAGTTTGGTGAATGAAAAAATCAATAAATCGGATTGGGAATTGAACCCGACGTGAATCGAACACGCAACCTTCTGATCTGGAGTCAGACGCGCTACCATTGCGCCACGGATCCGATTGGTGTTGTTACTTAATTTGGAGATATTTCTATATAGTTAGGTTTAGTATCCGCACTTGAGATTTTAGATGATCCTATTTTAAAAAATCTAAATTGTTTGAGTTAGTGAGTACATATAAACCATTGGATTCATCTCATGTTCTAATACACGGTACTCTATTAAGTATTCTTTCTTGTGAAGTGCCATTCTTCCTGTTACATATAGGAAATTATCTTCCTTTTATTTACTTATTTTTTAAAGATAGGTGGTTGAGATCTATCTAAGGGAATGTGACTTCAAGACTGTGAGTGATTTTCTATGGTTAGAGCATTGCTGTCAAGTTACACTTTTTAAGTGTGGACTAAAATGTTGGATTCAATTATGATGTACAGTGTAAAGATTTTTCATACTATCAACTAAACTATATTTTCACACTATTAAAATAACAAGTGCCTTGAAATTCTCACATGAGTTAATCCCAATCATTATTATTTTCTAAGTAGAGAAAGAAAACTGCATTACATAAGGTATATAAGAGATCTCAATTGAATTTTTCATTCTTCAGAAACTACTACCACAAGTCAGTGTTAGATGCTTCATGCTGAGTCTTTAAGCATTAGGAATGATAGTTGGAAACCCAGAGATGATAATATTATAACAAAAAAAGTAGAATCAATATCTACAAAATGGAGTTTGATACAATATATGGGTTAAAGAGGAAACTAAGTTATCTCATTTAACATAAAAAAATTTGGACATTCATCATAGTTCACCTTAAATCGTGATATGCACGCAAGGGAAAATGTATATATCTATATATTACAAGGTTACAACCACTTTGGTGTCTCCGGTTATTTTGCTCCTCATTCATTCAATGTTGGTGAAGTTCCTCAGCTGGCGGAGGAGCGAATCTGACATTGACAGGTTGTGCCACAACAACCGTGTCATCGGCAAATAGAGCTTTGATGAATGATGGTGTTTTAAGGGGCCGACGACCGGTCATCCGAGGGTACACATCTTCAAGAAAATAGTATGCATGACCAGCAATCATTCCCTGAAATGTGTTCAGAACATGAATGGATAGAAATCAAGTGTAAGCATTATGGTATATTCTTTGAATAGAGACTCACCAGCAGATCCACCCAGGCACTAGCACCAACAAGGACAGAAAACCCCAAGAGAACCTACATGCATAAAAAAATTGATCAAGTTAGTAGCATTTTGAAGTTAGAACTAAAGTAAAAGAAAAAATACACAATTTTAACTATAAGAACAAAGCATAAATCCTGTTTAATGTATCCTATAAGGTGATAACAGCGGATTCTGTTAGGTAACAAGGTAATAACAGCAGAGCTTACGCACCCATGGAAGGTAAGCAGCAGTGAAGGTAAAGAGGCCTAGGAAGTTCATATGAATGAAAGGATTTTGTCTGCTCCACACGTAAACCTGAAAAAGACAAACTAAACTTTAAAAACATTTGAGGCAGATTTAAACAAGAATAAACATAATAAATAAATATTATGACTCACCATCATAAATGTCAATGAGTTGCTAAGGAATATAATTTTCCCAAATGACTCTGACAAATAAGGTATCATTCCACCAAGTAGAACAATTCCAGTCAATACAGTGGCACCAAATAAGAGCATGTACAAGAAATCATAAGCCCTCCCTCTGAAGGAGTTCTCCTCTAAAAGCTTGCAATACCGAGCAAGAAAAAACATATGAAACAAGAAATCCAGGTCTGCCAATTCAATAAGAAAATATTGTGTCAAAGTTAGATATCTAATTGACAGCTTTAGAATTAGATATCAAACAATGTGAAACAAATATGAGCAGAGAATATAAAGTTGTTGCAGGCAAATATTCCTATTCATGCATATGATATCTATTAAAAAAGGGATAAGCCCAAGGAGTTTGTTTTATATGCTGGAGTAACAAAAGCAGAGGAACAATTAATCATGTGATTGTTAGAGGGAATTTGCTGTGTGTCATTATAATTCAGGAAAATGACTGGTGTATGTCAAGAACTCGGGAGTAGATAGGCATAATAGATCATGACAGGAGGTGCTGACAATCTGAATATAGATATGCATCTTATAATCTAGTTCTCACATAGACAAGTCCAGCGGCAAAAAGAAAAGGGTCGTGTATGGGGAGGGGAGAGCTGTGTTATACATTATAAACAAAGTTAAATTAAGAGATTATTGATTTATGTACACATCAAATCAAACCATCAATGAAAGCTTCAACCTGCCACTTCCTTCACATCTGTGGGGACAAGTTGCATTTGGGCAATCAGGATCCATACTATTGCAAAAGAACCATGGTCTGAAATGCATGATCCAATTTACGATAGATTTTGGGGTTTCCGCAAATTTTGTAACTACGGTCAGCAACAAGAAGTCTAATAAAACAATGTTGTTGCTTCTGATAGGGCCACAAAAGCGTAATTTAATGCTTTAATTTCTTGAAGTTGGAACTATGTACACATCCATTCTCCTTACAATTTTATCAAGTGGATCAGATTGACTCCTCGCTCGAAAAGTGGGTGCATCTCACCCATAATTGGCTTTTCTTTTATGCATGTTAGCATAAAAATAACAAATTGCGGCTCATTGCAAAGTGCGCAAGAGTCTAAGTGCAAAAGACTCTCACTTAGTATGGTATATTAAGTAAAAAAATAAATTCAAATGCTGCCACAGTGTAACTAAATTCAAGTAAATAAAAAACAAACAAGTCAATTTAATATATAAAAATCATTTAAAAGATGAACATCAAGAAGTTTACCAATTTTCCTGAAGTACAAGAAATTAGTAACTAGACGCCAATACTGATATTGTTTCACCACCAGTCTAGGGTTCAAGTACAAGTGATATGGAGAAATTATCTGCAAAATCATTATCACATGTCCCAAATCAGAGAAATCACAAGCCAAGCTAAGATGAACATGACCCAATGAAAGTTTCAAAACAAAATGCCACATTTATCAAAACCCAAGATTAATTACAAAAATTAAGACAACCCCATTAATGAATTGATTTAAAATTAATAAAAATTGCAAAGAGCACTTTAAAAAAATAGAAATTGGAACCCTAAAAAGGTGAAAAGGGGAAATAGGGTTACATCAAGGGAGCATCCAATGGAGGTGACGACAGCGGCGGTGAGATAGGATCGGGTGATAACTGGCATCTGCTTATACCATTCTTCAACCGCTTGAGCCATTTTTATCTTATCTCTATTTTATAATAATGATGATGAAAATTACACTGAATAAATATAAAGAGGAAGTGAAAGGGTGAAGGTAAAAAGCTATGGTGCGAGTGGGAATTGGAATTGAAGGATTATTGTTGTGATTGAAGGTGAATAAGAAGAAGTGAGGGTTATTCAGGAAAGAACACGCAGAATGATGGAGAAGAGACGAATCATTAAGAGCGTGGTTTTGACGCACCAATCACGTTCTCGTTCTATTTGGGTCATAAAATGGACTTTCCTCTTTTGTGGCCATTTTCAGTTTTCATTTTCAATCAAATTAGAAAAGAATTGTGAAAATACATTTGGATTGTTGTTTTCATTTCCAAAAAAATACATTTATATTATTGTTTTCATTTCCATAAAATTTTGAAAATGGGAAAACTCATTTTTAATAATGAGGTAATGACATATTGTTGAAAATTTTAATAATCATGTTACTTCATTCCAAAACTTTACATATTTTAAAATTTTAGTACAAATTTATATTTTCCTTTTTAATTATATCCTTAATTATTATTTTTCTTTTCACCACATGTGTGGCTATTTTAGTCAATATTTTTATGGATTTAGAAAATATTAGGGCATTGTAATGGCTACTTATTAATCAACATTATATGATATTATTGCATTCAAATGAATAGATCATGGGTTGAACTTGAATCCAAATGATTATGATTTATCATCTACATTAGACTTTAATAAGCAATGCTTGATATAGAAAGTGAAGAATTTTACCATTGGCATGTAATAGAAAACTTTAAGTTGGTAACTTTTAATGATGTGAAAGTGATTGCCAAACAACTCTTTACAAAAGATTCCATATACATAATAAAAAGGATATTAAGATCTTGTAATTAGCAACCTCAATAAGGGAAAGGATATTTTTTTCCTAGTTGGCAAAAACTTACCAAGATGTCAGCTGAAAAAATTAATTAACCATGCCATAAAATAGCAGTAAATAAAAATTATTCCTAAGGTGCAGTTTGTTATCTACATTAATATAAAATCTAGCTGAATCAAAATTATGAACATGCAATGACAAATACTCCTATGTTTTACATGTCCATATCAATAATAGAGTGAGGATCATAATAATTTTTCACTTAAGAATCACCATCAAGGAAAACATACATAAGCCACAATAAGGTTTCACAAGATAATTAATTCCCCATGTTTTTTACTAAGGAAATAGAGAAAGATGCTGTTTATTTCTATGAATCAATAGATTAAATCCTTGGTGTGTATGCCAATTTACATTGAAAAGTTATGTTGGGAACAGATTGGAAATGGATATGATTATGAAGACCAAAAGTGAAGCAATGTTAGTAGCATCACGTGATTCGTGGCCTCTAAAAGGATTTGTAGGAGTCGCATAACCGAAAATCGGAGAGCGAAAAGTGGCGACTGTAGACCAATTTTGTAGGAAGATATGACATTACTTTTTGTTTATTTTTTAGATATATAAAATAGATGTTCACTGTAAAACAAACCACAGGTGCACAGCTATACACAACAAACCATTTTTCATAGTTCTAAACAAAAAGAAAATACAAGATACTAAAGGCAGATGCAAAACAAACCATTTTGAATTTTGATGTTACTTTTTATCTCATTGGTCTCTAGAAATTATTTTTAGAACCATATGTGCCTTTAAATAGCCATAAACATAAAACAGATCCAAAAATCCAAACAAGTTGTAGTTCTTATTCAGTCCAATTCTATTACACGAGGCATTGATCAAAGAAACTTTCTGGTGTCCCTGG